TCATCTTTTCTTTCTTCCTATCTTCTTTTTCTCCCTTTCCTATTTCCCTTTGCCTTTTCTTCTCTTTTTTTCCTCCCTCCCACCTTCCTTTCCTTTTCGTCCTCTTTCCTTCTCTGTGGTTGTCCCATCATTTTGAAGTCTGCTCCTATATTCAGCGCTGAGTCCAGGAGGACCCGCAGACTGCGGACGTCCTCAGAGGGGAGCACAGGTAGCCACCCTAGACCCCAATCGGCCTCACAACTGACCAGGAGAACCTCTGCCTCGTCTGGATCAAGCTTCAGCTAGTTAGCCTTCATCCAGTCCATCACAGCTGCCAGACACTGGTCAAGGATCCAGGGGGCTTCCTTGGAGTTTGGTGGAAAGACCATGGCCATATAGCCCGAAAAAACCTACAACAACCCAGTGATTCCAGCCATGAAAGCCTTCGACAATACGTTGAACATCTCTACGGGGAGAAACTGTTCCAAGACACACGAAAATTGGACCTCTGAGGATGCTTGCCATAGATGCAGGCGAAACGTCAGGAGAGAATGCCTCTAGACCATGGCCATATAGCCCGAAAAAACCTACAACAACCCAAGTCTGCATAGAGATGGCACTCAACTCCAAAACTCCGGATTACTTCACCCAGTGTTTCATGTAGACATTGAAGAGCATGGGGGATAGAATGGGACCTTGCGAGACTTCACAGGTCAATGGCCAGCGATCCAAGCTGGTGTCCCCCAACATCACCATCCAGGAACGATCCTCCAGGAAGGAGTGGATTGACTGCAAAGCAATGCCCCCAAGACCCATTCCAGAGAGCCACCCCCAAAAGATACCATGGTCGATGGTATTGAAAGCCGCTGAGATGTCCAAGAGAACCAACAAGCACACACTCCCCCGTCTAGCTCTCTGCGGAAGTCATCCACCAAGGTGACCATCTTCGTTCCATGACGGCCTAAAACCAGACTGTGATGGATCAAGATAATCAGTTCCATCCAAGAATCCCTAGAGTTCAGAAGCCACCACTTGCTCTAGAACAAAGTTTCTCAACCTGGGGGTCGGGACCTCTGCGGGGGTTGCGAGGGGGTTTTTAGAGGGGTCGCCAAAGACCATCAGAAATCATATTTCTGCTGGTCTTAGGAACCCCTTTGGCAGATAAGGCTGAAGATCTCTCCGCCTGTCCTTCTCTCCCTTTTTTGGAAACAGACGGCAAATCCTCCCACCAAAAGCCCTCCTCTGCTGTAATTGGCGAGTCTCTCAGCCAAGGGGAGGCTGTTTCTGAGACTCCAAGCGGGGAGGGGAGAGCAGGCGTGCTCGGCACATGGTAGCGTGCTGTGTATGTGCGGGCAAGGGAGAGTGTGCGAGGCTGGAGGGAAACTCTCACCAGAGAGTCCCTTCAAGGCATGGGGGTTCTGTGTGGGAAGCTTGGCCCAATTCTATCGTTGGTGGGGTTCAGAATGCTCTTTGATTGTAGATGAACTATAAATCCCAGTAACTACAACTCCCAAATGTCAAGGTCTATTTCCCCAAACTCCATCTGTGTTCATATTTGGGCATATGGAATATTCATGCCAAGTTTGGTCCAGATCCATCTTTGTTTGAATCCATAGTGTTCTCTGGATGTAGGTGAACTACAACTCCCAAAACTAAGGTCAATGCCCACCAAACCCTTCCAGTATTTTCTGTTGGCATGGGAGTTCTCTGTGCCAAGTTTGGTTCTGTTCCATCTGGTGGAGTTCAGAATGCTCTTTGATTGTAAACTATAAATCCCAGCAACTACAACTCCCAAATGTCAAGGTCTATTTCCCCCAAACTCCACCAGTGTTAACATTTGAACAACAACCCAGATCCATCATTGTTTGAGTCCACAGTGCTGTCTGGGTGTAGGTGAACTACAACTCCCAAACTCAAGGTCAATGCCCACCAAACCCTTCCAGTATTTTCTGTTGGTCATGGGGAGTTCTGTGTGCCAAGTTTGGTTCAATTCCATTGTTGATGGAGTTCAGAATGCTCTTTGATTGTAGGTAAACTATAAATCCCAGCAACTTCAACTCTCCAAATGTTAAGGTTTATTTTCCCCAAACTCCACCAGTGTTGCTACTGTATTCCTCTCAATTTTGATCTAGTTCTATCATTGTTTGAGTCCACAGTGCTCTCTGGATGTAGGTGAACTACAACTCCAGCAGTCAAGGTCAATGCCCGCCAAACTCTTCCAGTATTTTCTGTTGGACATGGGAGTTCTGTGTGCCAAGTTTGGTTCAATTCCATCGTTGGTGGAGTTCAGAATGCTCTTTGATTATAGGTGAACTATAAATCCCAGCAACTACAACTCCCAAATGACATCTCCCAACCCAACCAGTATTACAATTTGGGCATATCGGGTATTTGAGCCAAATTTGGTCCAGTGAATGAAAATATATCCTGCATATCAGATATTGACATGACGATTCATAACAGTAGTGACATGACATTGTCCTAATTCCAACAGACCTCACTACCTCTGAGGATGCTTGCCATAGATGCAGGCGAAACGTCAGGAGAAATGCCTCTAGAACATGGCTCTATAGCCTGAAAAAACCCACAAGAACCTAGTGATTCCAGCCATGAAAGCCTTCGACAATACAGTGACATGACAGTTATGAATTAGCAACAAGAATAATGTTATGTTTGGGGGTCACCACAACATGAGGAACTGTATTAAGGGGTCATGGCATTAGGAAGGTTGAGAAACATGGGCTGATAGTTATGTAATATTGAGGAATCCTGGGATGCCTTCTTCAAAATTGGTCTTACTATTGCCTTTTGTAGGCTCTATGGTAGTTGTCCCTGCTCCAACGAGGCAGTGATCATCTTCGTACGTAAACCACTCAGCCAATTCATCAAGCTTTATCATTGGACGAAAACTCCAGTCTCGGAAAACCATTTGGATTTGCTTTTTTGGATCCCTTTATTTATCTTCGGCTTCCACATCACCCTTTGCCGGCGCCAAATTTCAAACAAGAAGACTCTCATTTTTCTTTTTCAGTTTTCGCGACCGTATATAAGACATTTGGAAACGGCATGGGCAGCCCCAATGGTATTCAATGACAAATCTGTACAGAGTTTGGAAAAACAAGGATGGAAACTCAAAACAGATCCACGGCGATTTTTCCCACCTGTGGGTCGAACCTCAGAGGGAACATCCCCAAAATGTCCCCAAAATGCATGCTCCCCCCCCCCCACTTTGTGAATGCGTCCCTCTTCTAACCCCGCCGTTTCTCATGCTGTGGGTCGGGATTCTTTCTAAAAATCCCCTTAAAGTTCTATCTTCCCTTCTTCTTTAGGATGAATCCTTTTCTACATGCCAAAATTCCTACAAAAAGAGGCCTACGGAGTCATCTAACATGGGAGGATGAAGGCAGTTGGCCGCCACTTTCAATGCAACAGAGGTGTCTTGAGAGTTGTCTTTTCGTCCCTCTTTGGCAGAGAAGGTTAAGCAACAACTCCCAGGAGCCAGGGCAGTTTAAAGTGGCGTCAAATCGCACTAATCATACAGTGTAGATCAGGCATGAGCAAAGTTTCTAACTTGGAGGCCGCACGCTAGCACTCCCTGCTAGGAGGACCGGTTTCCCGATGATGGAAGGAAGGAAGGGGAAGATGGAAAGTGAAAGAGGGAGAGAGGGAAGGAGGGAGGAAAGAGGGAAGGAAAGACAAAAGGGAAGAAAGGTTGGAAAGGAAGGAGGAAGGAAAAAGAGAAGGAACGAAGAAAGGGAGGAAGGATAGAAGGAAAGGAAGGAGGAAGGAAAAAGAGAAGGAACGAAGGAAAGGAAGAAGTGAAGGATAAAGGAAAGAGAGAAGGAAAGAAAGAAAAGAAAGGGAGAGGGAGGAAGAGGGAAGGATGAAAAGGTGGAAGGGAAGGATGGAAGGAGAAAGAGGGAGGGAAGGGAGAGAGGGAAAGAGAAGGAAAGGAAGAAAACACAAAGGGAGGGAAGGAAGGAGAAAGGGAGGGAAGGCGGAAGGAAATAGAGAAGGAAAGAAATGGGAGGGAAAGGAAGGAGAAAGGGAGGGAAAGAAGGAAGAAAGGATGATATGTGGAAGGGAAAGAGGGAGGTGAGGGAGGGAAGGAGGAAGGAAATAGAGAAGGAAGGAAAGGAAGAAGTGAAGGATAAAGAAAAGAGAGAAGGAAAGAAAGAAAAGGAGAAAGGGAGAGGGGGGAAGAGGGAAGGATGAAAAAGTGGAAGGGAAAGATGGAAGGAGAAAGAGGGAGGGAAGGGAGAGAGGGAAGGAGGAAGGAAAAACAGAAGGAAGGAAAAAGAAGGGGAGGGAAGAAAGAGAGGAGGGAGGGAGGGAAGGAAAAGAGAGAAGGAAGGAAATAGATGAGGGAAGGAAGGAGGAAGAAAAGAGAAGGAAGGAAGAAGGAAAGGGTGGAAGGGAAGAGGAAGGAAAGAAAGACAAGAGGCAAGGAAGGAGGGAGGGAGGGACAGGAAGGAAAGAGGGAAGGAAAGAAAAATGAAAGGGTGCAAGGGAAGGATGGAAGGAAGAAGAGGGAGGGGAGGGAGGGAAGGAGGAAGGAAATAGAGAAGGAGGGAAAGACAAAAGGGAGGGAAGGAGGGAAAAAGGGAGGGAAGGAAGAAAGGGTGAAAGGGAAAGAGGGGGGTGAGGGAAGGAAGGAGGAAGAAAAGAGAAGGAAGGAAGGAAGAAAGGGTGGAGGGGAAGAGGAAGGAAATAAAGACAAGAGGCAAGGAAGAAAAGAGGGAGAGGAAGGAAAGAGGAATGGAAAGAAAAACGAAAGGGTGGAAGGAAAGGATGGAAGGAGGAAGAGGGAGGGAATGGGAGAGGGAAGGAAGGAAGGAAAGACAAAAAGGTGGAAGGGAATGAGAAAGAGGGAGGGAAGGAAGAAGGAAGGAAGGATAGGATGGTGAGAGGGAAGGTCTGAGAAAAGAGCCCAAGGGGCTGCATCTGCCCCCCAGGCCTGAGTTTGCCCATGCCTGGTGTAGATGAACCCAACGACAGCAAAAGACCTTTGGAAACAACAGTTTCCCTTTCCGCTCCCCTTTAATCTTTAATTAAAAAATGTGAGGACAAAAAAACTGGATTATTGGACAAAAGCGTATAGTACATTGTTTGACTCTTTTGCAAGGAACAATGGGACATGGGAATGAATTTTTAACCAGGAACAAAAACACAATTACAGGCTGAATTAAGTGAACCACTACTTCTACTCTCGAATACTCCCCATGTTTATGACATTCCATGCTCACTGTCTCGCTTGGCTGGGGAATAGCTCACTCGTTTACCCCTCCAAACCAAAGGCATCCCTCTCCATATTTCTATACATTTTTAATGTCTTCCTCATGCAATTTCTCCCAGCGCTCCTTTCCAAAAAGCACCAAGAACCATCGGTTTGAATGATGCGACGGCGTTGAAAACATTCTAGCTGACGCAGCGAGAATGCTGGACACAACCGAGATTCACATCCTTGCTCAACGGCTTTGCTTTCTTGCAGGTGTCACTGTGAGGAAGACAAAATATTCCCCCAAAAGCCTATTCGACCTTTCTTCCTTATCGATGGAAGAATATCCGTCCTATGCTTTCTTCTTTTTCTTCCTCGTACAATCTACAACTAAGTTAATATCTTTCAATCAGCAGTGTCCATGGGGGGGGGATCCCGGCAAAACACAGGGTCCGATCCCCAAGCATTTCCAACCCTCCTTCTTTTGTTCATTTACTATTTACACATTCCCTCGTTTTGCCGACAAAATTCTTTGCTTTGCGCTGGAAACTACATTCCGGGAATACAGAGGAATCTTTCTATCTTCTATAAAAATTCCTGCACTCTAGCTACCTGGCTCTAATTTTACAATCAATAGTTTTACAATCGGTAGGTGTGAATAAGGTGTTGATCAGCAGGCTTTTTTCCCCTCCACTACGAAAAAATCCAATCAATGTTCAGCCAAAACGATCACCGCTGAATCTGTACAATTCACGGTCAATTGACAACTTTGTTTGAAGTGAGGCGCTAGTCTGTGTGTGTGACCACCACAAAACGAACCCGAACCGCTATCCTAAATACATTTCTTTTTCGTGGAGGAATCGTACATGTCTCCGTTCAAGTTTTGGCACCAAATCTGGTGCGTTATTCCTTAAACCGCCGGTTGGCTTGCATCTTCTTGTAGAAGTTCTCGGCCTCCTCGGCAGGGCCGTCCTTCTCACTGACGGTCAGGCTGCACGGCTTCCTCCGCAGCGTCGATTCTCGGCTGGCCACTCCCAGCGCGCTCTCCAGGGCCATGGCCTCTGCTGTCCCCAAGGCTGCTCCCACCCCAGCGGCCACGTTGATGGTGGCCACGCTCCCGTACCGGGACTCCATGTCCTGCTCCATGTCGCTGACAGATGAGCCAGGCGACACCCCACCACCACTGCTCTTTGCCACCCGGAAGCCACGATAGTCTTTGCCCGCCTCGCTGATCTCGTACACGTCTTGCCCGCCATCTGAGGGTTGTTTCTGGGTGGCCTTCCACTCCCAGGGTCCATTCCCAGATGAGAGGTGGACGATAGGGTGGTGCGGCGCGTGGGCATCGATGGTGACCACACTAGAGCTGTCCCGCTCAGACGGGGAGCGATACTGTGATGAGTCAGAGCTGGTGGAGGAGGAAGAGGTGGTCTCCGAGTGCTTCGGCGTCACCGACACCATCCCCGGTGGCTTGGACATTGCGATCACCTGCATCAGCCGTGGCGGGTTGGCCACACGTTGTGCCGCTGAGCCTTTCTCAGCCATCATCATCCACTTGGCCCGTACAGCGGAGCTGCTCTTGGGGGAGATGTTGGCTCCATTGTTGCCTTGGCTCTCTTCGGGGATGTGGACCAGCTGTGTGGCTCCAGGGCGAGGCTGGATGAGGACACGGGGCCCCAAAGAGGCCCGCTCTGCCGTCCGGGCCTGCACGGTTGGGTACAAGGACGATGGGACATGCTCCTCCTCTTCTCCCACTAAGGAATCTGAGCCAACGCGCCGGGCCACCTCCTCGGCTAGCGTCATTCCGCGGCCTTCCACCGACTTCTGCTTCCACTCGGTGATCAGTTGCTTGGAGCGGGAGGCATCCACAGGCACGTGGATCGTCATGTGGCGCCGGGCTGGGTCATCCATGGAGGGCGTGTTGACCCGGGGCAAGGTGTTGCTGAAGGTGACCATGTTCTCCTTGCCCATGGGGCTGCGGGGCGCCAAGAGGTCAACGTCCACGCTGGCTCGTTTGAGGCTGCCCAGGGAGTTCTTTTCACGCTGGACTTGGCGGTTCATCCCGTCCAGGCGAGCTGGGTGCGGATTCAGCTCATCTGTGCTGACCGACTTGTTCTGGTGGTAGACCGAGTCATGGCCGCGTTGGGTCAAGGCTCGCAGGGCGTCCTTGGTGGGTGGGTTGGAGGGTGCCTTTTCTGCCGGGGCTTGGAAGTTGCCCACTGCGTGGTATGCCTGGGAAGTGGAAGAAGACAGTGGTTAGGGGCTACAAGTGAGGCAGATCCTACCTTAACCTTAGGAAGAATTTCCTGATGGTCAGAGCCATTCGACAGTAGAAATTGCTGCTGCCTGGGAGTCCCGGAAAAGGCTCCTTCCTTCTCGAAGTATTTCAGAAGAGGCTGGATGACCACCTGTCAGGAGAACTTTGATTGTGTCTACCTTGAGATCTTTTCCAACTTTACAATTCTATGATGATATCATCACACACCTTAGGCCACCTCAGCTCATCCCAGAGCAATTTCTCTACCCCTGAGATCTTTCTGAATTCCAAGATTGCTTCCAAAACAAAAGCCAGAAGAGGAGGCAAATCCACTCCTGGTTTGGAACGAATTGATATTTTTTGCAATTGAAAGTACAGCTTTCAAATTGTTGTCCAATTTGAAAGCTTTATGTACATCATCATAATTCAAAGACACAATCAAAGCATTCCCAACAAATGGCCACCCAGCCTCTGTTTCAAAACCTCCAGAGAAGGAGGCCACAAGACTCCCAGGCAGAATACTCCTCAAATGTCTAGGTGGAATCTTATTACACTTTGGGTAATTCTAAGCCCTAGAAACTCACCTTTTTAAGGCTTTTGGGGGCAGTGAGTGGGAAGGTCTGGAGGTCTAGGTACTACCCTGGGTTGTCATTTGCCCACCTGAATTTGAAAAGGGAATTGCTCACCAGGTAAGCGGCGATGCCGGAGCCGATGAGGAATCCCACGTAAACGTCAATGGGGTGGCTGCGGTACTGGGTGATCTGCGTGAGGCCGCAGACACCGGCGGCAATGGCAAAGGCGAAGACCAGGATGGGCTTGAGGAGTTTGGTAGTGTCTGAGATGATGGAGTTGAAGTACATCTGCGGAGGGAATGCGTTGGTCAGCATCTACATGGAGTCAAGCTCTCGCCCCCTTCCCTGTTGGCACACTTTCGTCTCCCCAATTTGGCCTCCCCAATTTCATGTTTATTGATACCATTTGGTCATCCAGAATGGCCCTTTTCCTTGGAAGGATACTCACCGAAACATAGACGGCGGCAAAAGCAGACAGAGTGGCATGTTGGGAAGGAAAAGTCTTCCTAAAAGAGAGCAGAGCAGACAGCATGGTGACCTTCTTTTGCAGCAATTGTGAAGGCTTGGGAAATTGAGGGGCTCTATCTATCATCTGACTATCAATCATCTTATCTATTCAAGGTGTGCAAAACGGCTGCAATCCGATTAGTAATTCGTTTCGAAGATTCGGATGGCCTCCACTGTGTTTTGTAATGTAATCCAAATCTCCGAATCTTCATCATTGTTTTGCTTGTTTCTCTGTCATTTGTAGGGCTATCAGCATTGAACTTAGCACACTTGTAGGCAACATTTCCAACCTTAAGACTGCCAAGTTTCAGAACGTTTCGGTCATTCACTGATCTTTCGGAAATATTTAAATCTTTTACAAATAGGAGGAGACCAGCTTTGCAGAAAGCCGTGTGATTGGCTGACAAGGAAAAAAACAGCATGCACCTGCTGTTGTCAATCACATCCCCTCCAGGGAATTACAGAGTAATGTTACATTAAAATCCAATTAGTAATTCATTTTGGAGATTCGGATGGCTTTTGCTGTGTTTCATAAAAATTCGGAGGGGGTCCCATTTCTTTTCATAATCTTAATCTCCGAAGCTTTGTAATTGTTTTGCTCATTTCTCTGTCATTTGTGTGGCTACCACATTGAACTTGGAACACTTGTAGGCAACATTTCTGACCTTAAGCCTGCCAAGTTTCAGAATGTTTCAGTCAACCACTGATTTTTAGGAAACATTTAAAGCTTTTACAAATAAAAGGAGAAGACCAGCTTTGCAGAAAGTTGTATGATTGGCTGACAAGGAAAAAAACAGCATGCATCTGCCGTTTTTAATTACAACTACTCCTTCCCCTCCCAGACAATTACAGAGTAATGTTACATTGAAAAAAACACAGTTTGAAATGCTCCCAAACAAATGTTTTTGGGACTTCTGTTTCGTTTCGTAATGCTACGGAGGGGGGTCCCATTCCACTTAGTATGACAGATGGCTATCCAACCTCATTGACATTAGCAGGTTCATGGAGAAATAGGGCTATTGGATCAAAGAATCCTAGAGTTGGAAGGGACCCCCAAAGGTCATCCAATGCAACTCCATTCTGCCCCGCAGGAAGACATAATCAAAACCCTCCCAACAGATGGCCATCCAGTTTAAAAACCTCCATAGAAGGAGACTCCTTCAATCAGGGGCCCTTGGTTTGCGGCCACAGTCAAACAGTATGTTTTAGGTATTATCCACTTCCCTACATTGGGCACAATGTAGGGAAGTGGATAATACCTAAAACATAAAAGTTTATTAACAGTTCGAGATATTTCATTTGACTCTGAAATGACATGGATCCTCCAACTTTCTCTGCCTCAGCCTCCTGCCCTTGCCCTCAACTGCAAAAGGCAGACTTACCTGGCGGAAAGGATGGCGTGCAAGTCTTGACCCGCGCAGATGTCCTGCGTAATGTACGGGTTGGCATCGCAGGAGATCCCCAAAAGTGTGTAGTTGGGTTTGCAAACGGTCAGGAAGAAGGGAGCGTGGTAGCCAGTGGCCAGCTGGATCACGTCCGTCACGAGGGCCGTGGCACAAAGGCCAAAGACATGGACGCCTGGGCAGCAGAGAGAGGATTGGTTTCAGCAAGATCAGGTTTTGCACCTGCAACACGATGGATGGATGGAAGGATGGATAGGTAGGTAGATAGATAGATAGATAGATAGATAGATAGATAGATAGATAGGAATCATGGAAGAGACCCCAAAGGCCAAYACGATGGATGGATGGATGGATGGATGGATGGATGGATGGATGGATGGATGGATGGATGGATGGATGGATAGAGATAGAATCATGGAAGAGGTCCCAAGGGCCAACCTCGATAAATAGATGGATGGATGGATAGATTGATGGATAGATAGATTGGTTGGTTGRTTGATTGATTGGTTGATTGATTGATTGATAGAGGGGTGGGTGAATGTATATATGTATGTATGTATGTATGTATGTATGTATGTATGTATGTATAGATAGATAGATAGATAGATAGATAGATAGATAGATAGATAGAATCATGGAAGAGACCCCAAGGGTCAACTCCGTAGATTGATGGATAGATAGATAGATAGATAGATAGATAGATAGATAGATAGAATCATGGAAGAGACCCCAAGGGCCAACACAATGTATGGATGGATGGATAGAGAGAGAGAGAGAGATAGATAGATAGATAGATAGATAGATAGATAGATAGATAAATAGAATAATGGAAGAGGTCCCAAGGGCCAACTCCGATAAATGGATGGGTGAATGGATGGATGGATGGATTGATGGACTGATGGATTGATAGAGGGGTGAGTGAATGTATGTATGTATGGATGGATAGATAGATAGAATGAATCATGGAAGAGACCCCAATGGTCAACTCCGTAGATTGATGGATAGATAGATAGATAGAATCATGGAAGAGACCCCAAGGGCCAACCCCAGTTGATGGATGGATGGATAGACTGATAGATAGAGGGGTGGGTGAGTAGATAGATGGATGGATGGATGAACAGAATCATGGAAGAGACCCCAAGGGCCAACTCTGTAGATGGATGGATGGGTAGATAGATAGATTACCTAAAATAGAAGATAGATGAGATAGATAGATAGGTAGGTAGGTAGAATCACCCAAGGGCCATGCAGTTCAACCATCTAGTGCAGGCATGGGCACTAGACTTCAACTCCCAGGTGTTTTTGACTTCAACTCCCAGAAATCCCAGCCACTGTTAGGAATTGTGGGAGTTGAAGTCCAAAACACCTGGAGGGTCGAAGTTTGCCCATGCCTGTTCTAGTGGATACCAAAGGCTCCAGGATATATGATAGCTGGCCCTGACTTGAAAGCACTAAACATGAAAAGGATCTAGGGGTGTTAGTAGAATATAAACAAACATGTGCCATGCATAGGTGTGATGTGGCAGCCCAAAAGGCATTAGGAGGATGGTGTCCAGATGGAGGGAAATCCTAGCCCTGCTCCCTTTGGCTCGCCTGGAACGACCCTGTGTCCCATTCTGGGCAAAGCCATTGAAGGAGGAGGTGGACAAGATGAACGTACCCACAAACCTGACCGTCCTGCGGAGGAAGGAGTTGAAGTTGCAGCCGCCGGCGTTGATGCTGCCTTCAGAGCCGCCGCGGCCTTTCGTCTTGGACTGCAGGCAATACACAATGCCTTCGCCGACCATAATCTGAGGGCAAGGGAAGAGGGGTGGGTTTTGGAAAGGTCGCCTTTCCAATTCGGTTATTTTATCCATGTTTTTAGGATCAATTTGGGGTCCTGTAGCTTGAGATCACTTTCAGGATGCCCATAGCATTGGCAGTTCAGGTGCCTCATTATATATGTATATTTTTATTATTTTTACTTTTTTTTATTTTTAGCCGGAATCTCTCAATTTGGTCTTTTGTTGTATCTCGCAAGAGTGGCAAGTCAGAAATTCGGGGCTACATCATTGCGCAGTTGTAGAAAAACATAAAATAAAATATTTTTAAAAGCTCACAGGAATGACGGAGGAAGGCTTCTGAATGGATTGGGCTTTCTGAGGTGTGATGGGACAAAGTGGAGCATTCCCTGAAGGTAAGGATTGTAGTATTTGGGTGTGATGGGGTCAGTATGCATTTCATCTGCAGGGGAAAAAAACTACGGATTGAAAGAGGAGAGTTTCTTCATAAGGTGAGGTCCTAAATGGCTCAAACGGGGTGGAGTCAAAAAATCCTAAAAGGTAGGGGGGATGCAAAATAGCAGAAATCTGTTCTGTTTTTGGAAAGATTCCTGGAGATTTGGAGGGATGGTTATTCAAATTCGTAATTCAGAACCCTGAGTTCCGTTTTTGTTTGGTAGATTCGGTCAATTTTGAGACTTGTTTCTCTGTCATTTTTATGGCTATCAGGATGAAACTTGCCACACTTGTAGGACACACTTATGACTTTAAGCCTGCCAAGTTCCAGAACATTTCACTTATCCACTGATTTTAAGGAAATTTTTAAAAGTTTTTCCAAATTAAAGGAGGAGACCAGCTTTGCAGAAAGCCATGTGATTGGCTGACAAGGAAAAAACCAACATGCAGCTGTTGTCAATCACATCAGCCCCCTACCACCCGAGACAATTACGGAGTATGTTACACTGAAAAAAAACAAGGCATGAAACACTTTGAAACAATGTATCTTTACTAATATCTCTGAAACTTTTCAGAGGCTTCCATTTTGTTTCAGTAAGATTCAATCCATTGGTGGTCAGTAAATTTAGAGCCCGTTTCTCCATCATTTTTAAGGATATCAGGATGAAACTTGCCATACTTGTAGGACACACTTACGACTTCAAGCCTGCCAAGTTTCAGAATGTTTTGATCATCCACTATTTTTTAGGAATTTTAAAAAGTTTTTGCAAATAAAAGGAGGAGACCAGCTTTGCAGAAAGCCATGTGATTGGCTGACAAGGAAAAAAACAGCATGTAGCTACCGTTGTCAATCACATCAGCTCCATCCCACCCCAGACAATTATGGAGTATGTTACATGGAAAAAAATCCACAGTATAAAATGCTCTGAAACAACTAATCTTTACTAATCTCTCTGAAACCTTTTGGAGGCTTCTGTTTTGTTTCGTAATGCTTCAGAGGGGTCCCGTTCCAATTAGTAATGTGGAGAGTTACATTAATGAATCATACAAATCTCCGCATTATGAAATGGACCTTTGAAGCTTTGGACAGCCCTACTATCTATCTATTGCGCCCCTTTTTGAACAGTTTCTGGGATTTCTGGGATTGGAAGTCCAAAACAACGCACAACACAAGAGGGGAGGAGGATGGACAGAACCAGCTGTCTCATTGGCTGAGAAACGTGACGCAACAAGTGTGGCTGTGCCTTCCGTTCAGCCTCCGCCATGGAGAGAATTTGCTGCTTGTGAATGCAAAACAAACAAAACACTCAGAATATTAAGGATGGAAAATAGGTCTGAATCAACGAATCTTAACCAATTTTTTTAGCCTAAAGATTAAGCAGCCCATTTTTCGTTCCTGGAATTCTCTGAAGGGGCCCAAAGCCGAGCCGGCGGATCTCCGAAATTATCTGAAACTCAGATTGACCAACGGAATTCCGCAGACTCCTAGTATCTGAGGACCCTACAAACGCAGTGGAAGTTGGCGATCCTTTGGAGGCCTTTGCTGCCTCGGAAATGAAGAAGAGGAAGGGAGGTTTATGCTCACCGAAGCAGCCGGTGCAGCGAAGGCCAAGCTGAGCAGCATCAAGAGCGGGATCATCTCCTCATTGGTCTCCACATAAGGCATGGAGAGCGCCCGGTCGTAGCACTGGAAGCCCACCTTGGCCGGCTTGAAGAGGTCCGTCAGCTCCAGAAAGTAGAGTGTCACGATGGAGGAAGCCACGATGGGCAGCTGGAAGGCCAAAACACAAACAGAACAAACGCAAGTCGTTCGGAACCTATGGGTTCGAACCATTGAAGAGAGAAACTCTGTGCCATTCTGCGGCTTCAGGGCATCATGCTGTAAGCCCAATGCTTACAGCATAATGCCAGCTCTCAATCTTTGTCTTTTATATTATAACTGCTTTACTTACCTCCACAAAGTAGAAACAAGGCAAGAGCGTCATGCTGTCTTTGGGCGGCTTTGGCTTCTCCTTGGCAGAGATCATGGTTTTGCGGCAACGAGGCCTCAGGCGCTGTTGAGAAAGAAACAGAAGTGGAAGTGCAAAAGCCCTAGGAAGCTTAAGCTCATTGGTTCTTCATTGCGGTGCCAGGACTCGCCCTCCACTCTGCTCTGCTTCCACTTTCTAACAGAGATTAGATTGAACATTCCTCATCCTGTCTCTAAAAGAAGGAAGACCTTTTGGAATCATGGAGTTGGAAGAGATCCCCAAAGGCTATTATTATTATTATTATTATTATTATTATTATTATTATTTCGTGCAAGTTGCTTCTGGTGTGAGAGAATTGACTGTCTGCAAGGACATTGCCCTGGGGATGCCTGGATGTCTGATGTTTTACCATCCTTGTGGGAGGCTTCTCTCATGTCCCCGCATGAGGAGCTGGAGCTAACAGAGGGAGCTCAACATGCTCTTCCCAGATTCGAACCACTGACCTGTTGGTCATCAGTCCTGCCAGCACAAGGGTTTAACCTATTTTGCCACCAGGGGCTCCGTTATTGTTGTTGTTAATACTAGTAATACTAATAATAATAATAATTAGTAGTAGTATTAATATTAATATTACTATTAATACTCTCTCCACAAGGACACTCAAAGTGGTCATCCAGATTTATCACTACACCTGTGAGAACCATAGACTCCCAAAGGCCATTCAATCCAACCCCCTTCTGCCAAATAGGAAGGCAACATCAAAATCCTCCTGACAGATGGCCATCCAGCCTCATAGACATTTGCAGGCTCATGAATAGGAGCATAGAATCCTAGAGTTGGAAGGGACCCCCAAAGGCCATCTGATCCAACCCCCTTCTGCCAAATAGGAAGACATCAAAACCCTCCAGACAGATGGCCATCCAACCTCATAGACATTTGCAGGCTCATGAATAGGAGCATAGAATCCTAGAGTTGGAAGAGACACCTCTCCAAGACCAACCCCATTCTGCCATAAAGGAAGATACTATCCAATTCCTTCCAACAGATGGACACCCAACCTTCATTGATATTAGCAGCTTCATAGAAAGAAACGAGGCAATAGGATCATAGAATCCTAGAGTTGGAAGGGACCCCAAAGGCCATCCAGTCCAACCCGCTTCTTCCATGCAGGAAGTCACAATCAAAACCCTCCCAACAGATGGCCTCTGCTTCAAAATCCACAGAGAAGAAAGGCAACTCCATTGGGATCCAAGGAGGCATATTCCATCCTCAAAGATGAAAGACTTCACAACTTCTAAGAGTGCCTGCTATAGATGCAGGTGAAATATCAGGAGAGAATGCTTCTGGAACATGGCCAGACAGCTCAGAAAACTATCAAAAACTGAGTGATTCCGGCCATGAAAGCCTTTGATAATACATTGAAGAAGTTCTTCCTAATGTTTAGGTGGGATCCCTTAAAAATGATCAAACCAGCATTCTCTATGTGTTTGGATGTCAAGCACAGTGTTTCTCAACCTGGGTTGGTACCCCTGGGGGCGTCGCAAGGGGGGTGTCAGAGGGGTCGCCAAAGACCATCAGAAAACACAGTATTTTCTATTAGTCATGGGGGTTCTGTGTGGGAAGTTTCGCCCAATTCTCTTGGTGGGGTTCAGAATGCTCTTTGGTTGTAAGTGAGCTATAAATCCCAGTAACTACAACTCCCTAATGTCAAGGTCTATTTTCCACAAACTCCACCAGTGATAATATTTGGGCATATTGAGTATTCGTGCTAAGTTTGGTCCAGATCCATCATTGTTTGACTCTGCAGTGCTCTCTGGATGTCGATGAACTACAACTCCCAAACTCAAGGTCAATGCCCACCAAACCCTTCCAGTATTTTCTGTTGATCATGGGAGTTCTGTGTTGCAAGATTGGCTCAATTTCATTGTTGGTGGAGTTCAGAATGCTCTTTGATTGTAGATGAACTATAATTCCCAGCAACTTCAACTCCCAAATGACAAAATCCCCACAACCCCACCAGTGTTCAAATTTGGGTGTATCGGGTATTTGTGCCCAATTTGGTCCAGTGAATGAAAATACATCTTGCATATCAGATATTTTCATGACAATTTATAACAGTGGCAAAATGACCGTTATGAAGTAGCAACAAAAATAATATCATGGTTGGGGATCACCGCAACATGAGGAACTGTATTAAGGGGTCGCAGCATGAGGAAGGTTGAGAAACACTGGTCAAGCACTTAAAGAGACAGTTCCGAAAACCTCAAGGGGTTCAGCACAAGACATATTTCCTGGACCGGCGACTGCCTATAGGCTCAGCTCTATGGTACCTTGAGAAGGTGTTGGCGCCGATAATAAATCCAAGACACACCTCTTCCTTTGCAAAAGAAAAGGGAATGCATTGCTCGGGAAGAAGATGGAGATTGTCTTTGCATCTCAAGCCCTGGGAAGTTGCACATTATGACCTACCTCCGGGAATAAAGGAAGAAAGGATTTGGAAACCAGGTGTGTTTACCTTGGAGAAGAAGAAAACAACCCAGTGAATATGAGAGCCATGTTGAAATATCTGAAAGGATGTCACATTGAAAAAAGGCGGGAGCTTGTTTTTGGCTTCTCCAGGTACGCGGATTCATACGGCAGGTTAAAGAGATTCTACTGACACATTATGAAGAACCTGCTGACGGTTTGAGCCGTTCGATAGGAATATGGGAGTCTATAGAGTCTCTAACTAGAGGTTTGTAAGCAGAGACTGGATGGCCATCTGTCGAGAGGGCTTGGATGGTGCCTTCCTGCCTGTCAGAATGGAGTTGGAATTAAGATGGGCCCTTGGGGTCTCTTCCAACTCTGTAATTCTAGTAATAATATCTTGAGCGTTCATAGAATTTGCTGGGATTAAGTCCTTGATCCAGCCACAAAATGGGCTAGGAGTGGGACCCCCAAAATGCTAAGCATGGACAGAATGGGCCAGGAATTCTACCTCAAGCATCTATGAAATGTGCCGGGAACAATACCCTGACCATCAGCAGAGTTTGCCAGGAATCATGTCCCGACCACAAAAAGATGCTAGGAATGGGACTGTGAGCATCCACCCAATATGCCAAGAGTGGTCCCCAAAACATATCCAGGATGGGACCCCAAACATCCAACACATGACAAAAATGATACCTGAAACACCTGACAAATGTGCCCAAAATGGGACCCCAAACACCCAACAAATGTGCTCAAAATGAGACCTAAACACCCAACAAATGTGTCCAAAATGGGATCCTAAGCACCCAAGAAATATGCCCAAAATTGGACCCTAAGCATCCAACAAATGTGCCCTACATATGACCCCAAGCACCCAACAAGTGTGTCCAACATGGGACCCCGAACGCCCAACAAATGTGCCCAAAATGAGATCCCGGATCCTGAACAAATGTGCCCAAAATGGGACCCCAAGCACTCGACAAATGTGCCCAAAATGGGATCCTAAGCACCCAACAAATGTGCCCAAAATGGGACCCCAAACACCCAAAAATGTGCCCAAAAAGAGTTTCTAAGCATTCAAGAAATGTGTCCAAAATGGGACCCTAAGCATCCAACAAATGTGCCCAAAATGGGACCCCAAACACCCAAAAATGTGCCCAGAAAGAGTTCCTAAGCATTCGAGAAATGTGTCCAAAATGGGACCCTAAGCATCCAACAAATGTGCCCAAAATGGGAACCCAAACACCCAAAAATGTGTCCAAAAAGAGTTCCTAAGCATTCAAGAAATGTGTCCAAAATGGGACCCTAAGCATCCAACAAATGTGCCCAAAATAGGACCCCAAACACCCAACAAGTGTGCCCAAAATGCGACCCAAAGCACCCACTAAATATACCCAAAATGGAACCCCAAATGCCCAATAAATGTGCCCAAAATGGGACCCCGAATGCCCAACAAATGTGCCCAAAATGGGATCCTAATCACCCAAGAAATGTGGCCAAAATTGTACCCTAAATATCCAACAAATGTGCCCAATGTGGGACCCTAAGCACCCAACAAATTTGCCCAAAATGGGATCCTAATCACCCAAGAAATGTGGCCAAAATTGTACCCTAAGCATCCAACAAGTGTGCCCAAAATGGGACCCCGAACACCCAAAAAATGTGGGAGGAACAATACCCTCAGCTTGGGCAGATTTGGCAAGGAATCGTAGCACAAACCGCCCCAAAACATGCCAAGGACAGTGCCCAAAATGGGCTGGGAATGGGACCCCAAACACCTACGGAATGGATCGAATGTGCCAGGAATCATTATCCTCAGCCATCCTCCAAATGTGCCAGGAATGGTGCCTTGAACATGTACGGCATGCGAGCATCCTTTGTCTGGACCCGACTGGGTACCAAACGCCTGGGATGCCAAGCCCAGCTGCAAACGCCTTCCCAAACCTACCTGTCCCGCATCTGCCTGCCTTTCCCTCCTCTTTGTGGCTGAAATCAATGGGGGCGATGGCTCCGACTCTTGACGCAAAGCCAAAGGGGCTCCTCCCTCAGTTCAGCTCCTCTTCATCCTTGTTGGGAGACCTTTCCCCTTTAGCAGGGGCAAACCTAAAAGAAAAGGAGGAGGATTGGGATCCAGCCTGGGCTTGGTGTGCCTCCCTTTCTTTCTCTGCTCAAAATGGCTTTGGAGGGGAGTCTCTGTCTCTTTTTTCCAGCTGCTGCAGGGCTGCTTCAGCACAAAGAAGGGGGGAAGAGGAGGGGGAGACGGGGCCTTTGTGTGTTCAGTGTCAGCGTATTCCGTTTCCATAGAGAAGGCTCACAGCATCCTCCTCATCATCACCATCATTCTCCTTGTCCAGGAAAAGATGTCGAGATTTGCAGCTGGAGAAAGGAAAAGAAAAAGGGAAACACAGCTGGGGGAAGAAAGCACCTCATTGTTGGGTGTGTTTTCCCCCCAGCACCGATTGCAAAGCCGTTGTATTAAATCATAATAATAATAATAATTGCATCGATCATGATCGTCCAAGAATCGGTTACTTAGTGCTTGGCAGAAGAAGAGATTGTTTCTGAGCATATGCAGAAGGCTTGTTCGGAAAGGAAGGCATATTCTTTACACTTCTTGTTAGCAACTGTGCACCGGCTCTGACTTTATTCCGCATTATTACTATAAGAAAATAAATAACTTCCTTTTAGCAACTGGGCATTTGCTCTGTCTTTTTCCATTATTGTTGTTGTTGTTGTTAACTTTATTTGTACCCCACTAACATCAGCCCTAGCTTCTGCCAACCTAGCAGTTCGAAAACATGCAAATGTGAGTAGATCAATAGGTACCGCTCCGGCGGGAAGGTAACGGCGCTCCATGCAGTCATGCCGGCCACATGACCTTGGAGGTGTCTACGGACAACGCTGGCTCTTCGGCTTAGAAATGGAGATGAGCACCACACCCCAGAGTCAGACATGACTGGACTTAATGTCAGGGGACTACCTTTACCTTACCTTAACATCTCCCGAAGGACTCGGTGCGACTTACAAAGGCCAAGGCCCTCAATAAAACAACAGCATAACAAATACAACAACAAAACTCATAAAGCAAACCAATAAACATTAAAGCAATAACAGTAAAACATCAAAAACAATACATCATGATTTATTATTATTATTGACTAGTTTGGGTACCTAGTGATGCCTGGGTTATTTGAAAATTGCGTTGTTTGTTTTGGGATGAAAGGTAGTATCATTTAGTTAATTATTAACACTATTTATTAAGGAAAAAACCAGTTTTTATTTGTTTTTTATGAATAATAATAATAATAATAATAATAATAATAATAATAATAATAAACCTTATTTATACCCTGCTACCATCTCTCAAGGGACTCGGTGCGGCTTACATGAGGCCGAGCCCACAGTACATCACCAATAAAAACAATAATAACAGTAATACAAACAATAAAATCAAACTCATCACAAAAAATAAGCAATAAACATTAACAGTAACACAACGACGTTTAAAAAACCTATGGCTGGGCCAAATGTAGTACTTAAAATTAAGGATAATGCTGAGCGTGAACAGGTGAAATGTGACAAGGATAGAGTTTTCGGAGAGGGATGGGGCGTGCAGACAATCCTAGATCATTAATAAAATAATGAATGCTCCCATTACAAAATGCATAAGGATGTGGGTGAACTACAATTCCCGGAATCATGGGTCAATCCTCCCCAAACCAGGCCTGTATGCACAGTTGGCCATATTGCATCTATGTGCCAAGTTTGGTCCAGATCCGACGTTGGCTGGGTTCAGTGCTCTCTGGATGCAGGTGAACTACAAGTCCCAGATTCCCAGGACAATCGCCCCCAAACTCCTCCTGTATTCACAGTTGGGCATATTGAGTCTCTGTGCCATGTTTGACCCAGATCAGTCATTGATGGGGTTCAGAGTGCTCTGGGTGCAAGGTGAACTACAACTCCCATGTGGGTAGATCCCCCCCCCCCCGCAAATCACCTCCAGTATGTTCTGTTCGTCACCAAGGTTCTGTGAGCAAAGTTTGATTTAGGCCCATCATTTATGGGAGTCAGAGTGGTCTGTGGAAGTGGGTGAAGGTACTGCAATTCCCATCGTCCCTGGTCCATCCTCCCCAAATATACACCAAGACGTAAAGTGTGCCATGGGGGATCTGTATGGCAAGTTTCCAGGCCCATCATTCGTGGGGGTGGCGGTGGTCTCAGGAAGTGAGTGAAGCTACTACAAATCCCATTATACGTGGCAAATGTGGTCCACATCCATCACTGGTTGGGTTCACAGTGCTCTTTAGATGTAGGTGAACTACAATTCCTATAAATCAAGGTCAGTTCCCCCCAAACCTCTTGTTCAGTTGCTGATCAATACCTGTTTGCTGTGTGTCATACGAAAAGGTAGGAAAAGGTTAAGGGAATGGCAGTGGTCATGCAAATGACACACCCTTGGGGAGAGAGAAAGGAACCCTGGGATGTCCATTCTGCAGGAAAAACAGAACATCTAGGATGAAATTGTCCCCGAATGAAAGCATTCCTTGGGTGGTGGGCAGTATGGTGTTTGGGGAGGACATAGACAGGGGTTGGGGGACATGTTCATAGTGCCCGCTCTAACCTGAAATGTCCTTGGAGGGAGTGCTTTGGGTGATTCCTCAGCACTGTGGGTTAATTATTCAAACTTATATGCCGCCACTCCCCTGGGGCTCGGAGCGGCTTACAAGAACAGGCTAAAATCTAACACAATTTAAAAACAATTTAAAACAATTTAAAAACAGCAATATCAAGGATCAAAGGCTTGTCGAAACACATATGTCTTACAAGCCCTGCGGAATGCTGATAAGTCCCGCAAGGCACGGACTTCAGGTGGCAGAGTGTTCCAGAGCGATGGTGCCACTGCTGTAAAGGCTCTGCGTCTGGTTGCTGTTAGACGCAAGGTCTTGACACTGGGGACTTCCAATAGATCTTGGTCCTCAGAACGGAGGGATCTCTGGGGTTGGTAGGGGGTGAGGCGGTCCCTCAGGTACATCGGCCCCAGACCATGCAAGGCCTTAAAGGTGAGTACCATCACTTTGAAAGTGATCCGGTGCTCAATTGGTAACCAATGTAGCTGTAGTAAGATTGGTGTTATGTGGCATCTCATCGGAATTCCCGCAAGAAGCTGAGCAGCTGCATTTTGTACCAACTTGAGCTTCCGGATCACCGACAGAGGAAGGCCAATGTAGAGGGCGTTACAGTAGTCCAGTCTTGAGATGACCGTGGCCTGGATCACCGTAGCTAGGTCGTCCCTGGACAGGTAGGGGGCCAGCCGTCTAACCTGCCGCAGATGAAAAAAGGCGGTTCTGCTAATGGCAGAGACCTGGGCTTCCATTGTCAGCAGAGGGTCCAAAAGGACTCCCAGACTCTTTACCAATGATGATGGGCGTAACGCCGCCATCCAGGGTAGGCAGCTGGATATCCCCACTGCCCGGTTGACCCAGCCATAGGATCTCCGTCTTTGCTGGATTCACCCTCAACCTGCTGGCACGCAGCCATCCAGTAATGGCCTCGAGGCACTGATGGAAACAATCGGGTACAGAGTCCGGTCGGCCTTCCATCTTCAGCACCAGCTGAGTGTCATCGGCATACTGATAACACTCAAGCCCAAAACCTCGAACCAGCTGAGCAAGTGGTCGCATATAGATGTTAAACAACAGAGGGGAGAGAATGGCCCCCTGAGGAACCTCCAAAGTAGAGGGGACCTCTCGGAGACCAGGCCTCCCCTCTCCACTCGCTGTCCACGACAGCCAATTTAAAGCTGTCCCCCTGACTCCAACACCAGCAAGGTGGTGGGTCAAAAGATTGTGGTCGACTGGTTAAAGCTGTTTGTGGAGGCTGGAGTCTGTTTGTGTAAGTGGACTCTTCTGTCAATATACACACACACACACATTTTAACTTTAATTTTTTGCATAGATAGATAGATTACTAGCTTGGTTTTACCTGGGTTATTTGAAAGTCACTTTTTAAATTGTACAAAATGCATAAGGTTGTGGGTGAACTACAACTCACATCATGCCTGGTTAACCCCAGGAAATTCCATCAGTCCCTAAAGTTTGTTATGTTGGGTAAGTCTGCTCTAGATGCCTCATTGGTGGGATTCAGTGTGCTCTCTGCCTGTAGGGTGAACTACAGTTCCTGCTATGGTGAGCAAGTCCCCTCAAACCCCTCCAGTAGTTTGAGTTAGTCATGGGGGTTCTGTGTGCCAAGTTTGGTCCAGATCCATCCTCGGTGGGTGAACAACAACTCCCAGAAAGGAAGGTCAGTTTCCCTCAAACCCCTCCAGTAATCAAATTTCGGCATACCAGGTATGTGTGATAAGTTTGGTCCAGATTCATTGGTGTTTGTGTTCTGGATGTAGGTGAACAACAACTCCCCCAAATCAAGATGAATTTCCCCCAAAGACTTCCAGTACTTTTTTGGTGGTCATGGGGGCTGTGTGTGCCAGGTTTGGTCCAATTCCATCTTTGGTGGAGTTCAGAGTGTTCATTGATTGCAGGTGAGCTATAAATCCCAGTACCTACAACTCCAAAATGTCCAGGCCAATTCCTCCCCAAACCCACCAGTATTCAAATTTGGGCATATTGGGTATGCATGCCAAGTTTGGTCCAGATCCATCCTTGTTTTCCTTTAGGAAAAGAGTAAAAACCTGGCGCTTCGAGCAAACTTTTGGAACCTCATTGTAACCAGATAAACTCAGTATTGTGAATGAATATGGAACGGCTTCACGATGCAAACTGACATGGATTTAAACCTGGAAGTCATTGATTTTTATAGTTTTACATTGTTTTTATATGAATTTTATTATGTGATTTAACCTGTTTTAAACGATGTATTTACGGGTGTTTGGCATCTAATTGTTGCCAGTCTGTGTGCCGCCCTGAAAAGGGTGGGATAAAAGTGTGGTAAATAAATAAACAAATAAATTGTTTGGGTTCATAGTGTGCTCTGGATGTAGGTGAACTACAACTCCTCTAAATCCCTCCAAAGATCTCAAGTTTACTTAGACGATCCCTCGTTGGCCGAGTAGGATAGTCTTCCAGGATCAGTATTCTGGTGGGTCCATAGGTGACTGTGGAGCCCTATTATTGATCTGCATCTTCTCCGACAGTGAAGGCATTGTTTTCCAGGTAGAAGGCTGTCCTGGTCGGGGTTGGCTTGACGCGCCTTTCTCTTGTTACATTTCTCTCTTTTGCCCTTCATCCGTGCCTCTTCAAATTCTGCAGCACTGCTGGTCACAGCTGACCTCCAGCTGGAGCGCTCAAGGGCCAGGGCTTCCCAGTTCTCAGTGTCTATGCCAGAGTTCTTAAGGTT